AAGAAAGAAAGAAAGAAAGAAAGAAAGAAAGAAAGAAAGAAAGAAAGAAAGAAAGAAAGAAAGAAAGAAAGAAAGAAAGAAAGAAAAAAGCAATAGCAAGTGTAAACTCAAGACAGCTCTGAAGTTCCAGAGGGACCGGAGAGTTAATGACTAGGAGTGCAGAGGGACCAAACTGCTCCAGAGCAGTCCTTCCTCTTCTTCCCACCAATGCATGAACAAGGTAATTTAAAAACATGTAGTTCACCTGCTGACACAGAAGTTAGGGTTAGTTTTTCCCATCTTCCCTAAGACATTACTTGACAATGTGATTGACAGCTCAACAGACAATACAGAACTAATAGTTCAGTTCACAGATAAAAATTAGCAGAGATCTGAGAAGTGCATATATTTTTAAAAATGACAACAATGATATAACCTACACATGAGAAACCATGAGCAATAATGAAGCAGACAGAACAAAAATTTAAATAGGCAGTATTTTAGACACATCACTGTGCCTTAGCTTAATAGCAAACGAGGAATAATAATAGTACTAAACTTATACACTTGTTATAAGGACTGAATGATTATATTTCAGCTGGAATACAGTACATAAATGTTAGCTATTAATATTTAGATTGTTACCAGAATCAACTTGCATTATAGGAAACAAATGACATAGATGTTAAGAGCCCAACTGCTGGAGGCAAGATCTGCAATCGCTATAATGTACTAGTTATGTGAACCTTAGCAAAACATAAATCCCTAATATTTACTTAATATATTGGCAGTAATTCTGTTTCATAAGAAGTAAAAGCGACCTAAGGAAGAATACCTACATGGAGACATTTTATAGAAAAGCTCAGGAGGATTTTCTTAACTTCCAATCTTCGATTTTTAAATGAACATAATGACAGAAACCACCTTTTGTGAGGATTAAATGAGTTAATATATGTACTTAGTCCTGTACCAGCAGATAATAAGCCCCCAGTAAATATTAGCTACTCTTAATTATTAGCAGTATCTTTAGAGTGTTTGCAGAATAAAATCTATTAGTTGCCATACAAAGCTCTGACAGGACTCGCTACTGCTCACATGTCCAATTTCATTTGTTATTTCTACTCTACCCCCTCACTTTATGTCCCGAGCCGTATCAAACTTCTTAAAGTGTTCCAATCACACCATGTTCTCACATGTTTGTGCCTTAGTACATGCCATTTGCCCCACCTGGGATGCCCTATCCCTGTGTGTCTGGCTGATGTCTCAGTTTCAATGCTATCTCCTCTGCCCTCAGGCAATCTCAGGAAACACCTTTACCTACGCACTGCGTTTTCACCATAGCAATTATAATTATTTATTTACATATCTGTCTTCCTACTAGGCTATAAGTTTCTTAAAATTGTTAAAAGGAACCAAAGTCTACTAAATAATCAGCTGTGAAAATTCTAAGAAAGCAGTATCACTTTCAATTATAGGTAGAATAAGGTGAAAATAAACCTGAATATTTAAATAAAGTAAACACATGGGGCCTTTTTATTTGGCTCTTTTAGGTATATTCTCTAAGACCTACAAATTGTCCACATAAAAATCTTCAGTCACAGATTAGTCTGCTCTGTCTCTCACCTGTTAAAGGAGAGATTAATTGTTTGTAGTCTTATCAGCGATTCCATTTCTTCAGGCAAAGAATTTAAAAAATTGTTCCTAAATTGGAAAGAAAAAGATGATTTACAAAGTTGAAAATCTGTACAACTTTAATTTATAATTAAAGTGGCTGATCAGGGTGCCTGGGATGCCTCAGTTGGTTTAACATTTGCCTTTGGCTCAGGTCATGATCCCAGGGTCCCGGGATTGAGTCCTGCATTGGGCTCCCTGCTCAGGGGGGAGTCTGCTTCTCCCTCTCCCTCTGCCCCTCCCCTCTGCTCGTGCTCTCTCTCTCTGATGCGCGCTCTCTCAAAATAAATAAATAAAATCTTAAGAAAAAATAAAGTGTTGATCAGACAAAAAATTATGTAGCTCGGTTTGTTAGTTCTTGATCTGATCTCATTAAGGCTAAGTCCTGAGAATTCTGAATCAGTCAGCTGTCTCAGGTATTTGATTAGTGTGCCAAATCCAAATAATACCAATACGTAACCAACTGATAAAGCAACCAACTCTTTAATAATACATTTAACAGGGCAAACACTGTAAACTAATCATTTATCTCCTTCAAACTGATCTCAGCAATCCTTCTCACAGATAGGGCCCTTGAGATCATGCCTGTAAATACCACATTATTTGATTCCACAAATATTTGATTGGTGTTTAATACATGTATCTTGCATACAGACATGAAATTCTACTCTAAGCAGAACTGTAAAATTTTATGAAAAGAAATGAAACAAGAAAGTGATGAGATTCTATATATTTAGGAATTTAGGGCTTTCTACTACATAGGTATTAAGCAAGTCCATTTCTACTCTAAGTTTAGAATTTCAATTTACACAATGCATATATTTTTTAAGAATCTTAGAATGAAGCATGGCAGTAAACAGAATCTCACTTACTGTTAGAAGGATCTGGGAACAATGTTAAAAAAAAGGTTAACAACAGGAAGGCAGAAGGATTCTAGAGCTTATATAATTACTTATAATAGAAAATATTTGTGAGAAAATTATATTTAACTGGATGGCTACCTATTACAACTGGGTAATTTTCTCTAAATTTCTTTGTGTTCAGAAGTCAAGCCTAATAACATGTTAAGTCATACTTTCTACACCTATATTTTCTTTTCTCTGTACTTTTCTCCAGCTATTGTCTTTATTAAGTTATACCAAATAACCTACTGCTGGTTTGTATCTTTTTCCTAGAGTCTTATATACCTACTGATATCAGATATGAAAGTGTACATTAGGGGAGCCTGGGTGGCTGTCTGTTAAGAGACTGCCTTTGGCTCAGGTCAAGATCTTAGGGTCCTGGGATCGAGCCTCACATCAGGGTCCCTGCTTGGCGAGGAATCTGCTTCTCCCTCTCCCTCTGCTGCTCACCCTACTTGTGCTCTCTCGCTCTCTCTCAAATAAAATAAATAAAAATAAAAAAATAAAAGTGTACACTAGTTACTTAATTAGAAACCTAAAGGTATAGACAGTGGTGTGCGCGCACACACACACACACACACACTGAATGGGACCAAAATAAAGAGAGCAGTAATAAGTACATGAATTCATTCTCTCTACTCCATTAATACTGAACTACAATGTGGTTTTACACTGTTTTGCCAGTGTAATTGCCACCCCAAAACAGAAGCAAGTCTACATTTAATAGGAGCAGAGTATTAGATTTGCTTTAATGCCATAAGCCAAAAAAAAAAAAAAAGTCTCTATAGGCAGAATAAATCCTTAAACAGATACAATTTAGCTTATTGTTATTTACCTATTGCTTGAGCAGGGCAAGAGGAGCTACAGCTTAAATAAACTAAAAGCACTCCAGTAATTATATATGAGTAGGAAGTGCAGATAATAGAGCTATAGCTTACAAATAAAGACTTAAAGCCCAAACAAAAAAATACTTGACTATCTACCTCTGAGTCATTTATTATTACCCTCAAAGAACCGTGGCAATTCTGATCCTGTCACTTCAACTTAGGACTTATTTTTTTTTCTTTTTTGCTGCAATATATATATTTTAATTCAAAGTGAATCGACAGTAATACACCATAAATTCTTATTTTGACACTCACCAAAATAGTCACCTGGAAAACCCACTTTTTGTGACAAAGTACAGAAGGCTTGGTCACATTTAAATCACCGAGAACTAGAGAGAAATACTAGCGCAAACCGTAATAGACATTACATCCATAAAACTTTTCCCAGTCCTTATTGTAATATTGCACAGTGCAACTGCTACATGGCAAACTAGTGTAGTATAGAAGTAAAAGCAAAAACAAACCAAAGAAAGAAAGCCACAAGTCTAAAATTGTTAAACAGTTAACAGTTCAAACTTAGTAATCAAATCTATTATCTTTGGGTTCATTAAAACAAATCTTCCTACACCTTGCAGTGTATGATTTAACTTTTACTTAACACAAACCAAGATTAAAATTAGTAGCTGAGATGCGAAAAAGTGAAAAGGCTTTGCTACTACAGTAACATATTTAAACACCCTGAAGGAAAAGAAAAGTTAAGTATCAGGGTATTTGGTAAAAAAAAAAAAATAATAATTTGCAAATTAAAATAGTATGCAAATATGCAACTTGGAAGTCATGCAGTGTTTAAGAAAGCAGTAAAACAAAAGAAAAATGGTAAAATGGTTTTAAAGAAGGTATAAATCCAAATTCTTTTGTCAATATGTTGAATTTAAAAGTTAGGATTTTGACATTTTTAATTTTTAAACACATTAAAAAGCCCATGATTAGAATCGGTTAAGAGCAGTGTACTCAACTAGGGTATGCCTTTATCAAACCTGACTATTATGAAAACATTTACTGTCCATTTAACAAGACCATCTGAGTCTTGGAACTGAAATACAGAAAATACGACATTTCAGGGTAGTAATATGGCCCTGAATGAATATAAAACTGCGCCAGTTTTGTACCTGTTGTACAAACAGAAATCGATCCTTTGCACTTGGTGTTTCTGAAACATCCGCTGCCAGCATTGATTCTTTTCCAAGAAGTGAGCAGATACCAGTGATCTGCCGGGCCATATAAATAAAAATTAATAAGCTGTGGAGGGCAGCAAGTTTACTTAAATAGTGACTCCATAAATTTGCCATCTGTAAATAATCTTTTAAATTAATCTTAGGCTACTCCTTTTTTCTGTGTAATACATATATGTATAAAATGCATAGAATTGATCACTAAAAACACTGAAACTTGTGGGGAAAATTAAGTCCTTCATTTTCAGTGTGACTAAAAATGTACAGCTGGTTTTTTATTTTATGATCTAATACTGTAATTTTTAAACTCAATTTCAGGCACATTTATTTCATTGATGATTATTAAATAAAACACTGCTTGTGTTAATGGAGTAAAGAAAAGTTTATCCATTATTAGCTTATTGTCAACGCTGTATTAGAGCTGTAGTAGTGGTATGCAATTCATTTATCAAAGAAATGCTGTAAATCCAAAACATTTGGAGAGTTTTACACTCAAATGCTTTGTACTGTTTATTCCAGTAAATGCTGTAAGATTATATTCCAGATTTTTAAGGAAAAAAAGTTAAGTCAAGCCTGCAAGATACAGCTTTCTCAAGTGTCTACAATGCCAGCATGAAAATAAAAAATTAAGTTACATTGATACATCCAAGTTTTTTATATGCAGTGATGAGCACAAACATTAAAAGAGATAAAATACTGATGCAAATAATACACCCCAAAATAACATATACAATTACTTTCCATCATTTACAATACAGTAGTTATAATGACACTCCAAACATAAAAGCAAAGTAAAAAATCAAAACCCCAACTTCTATTTCATGTAATTAGACTTATACAGAAATTAGAAGGCTAAATAACAACTAGTTAATCACCTAATTTCACAGCTATCTGAAGTGGCAATCGTTATATAGCAGCTTATCTATGATACATTCAAGACAAACGATACAATTTATTACTTGCCCATAAGCTAAAACACAGCCTGTTTAATACCTTTCTTTAAATTCCACCTCTACACTACAATATACTTGAGGTCTATGCAAAAAAGTAGCTACCTTTTATATAGGAAATGGATGATTAAGTCTTTGATGCTGTAAAAGCAACTTCATTTAAACATAACCACCAACCACCAAAAAAGAAAAAAAAAAGAAAGAAAGAAAAGAAGGGAAAAACCCAAGACACACTTCCTAGGAAAGAAAAAGCATGTAATTTCTGTTCCAGACGGAATGTATTAAATAAGCAAACACCACCAACAAGCAAAACAAGTACTACAATGTAAAAATACTTAAAAAAAAAAAAAAACCCTCTCACATGCATAAATGAACAATTGCACACAAAGAACTCACATCTTTTCAAGCTTCAGTAGTAAATATTCTGCTACTATTTATTAAATACTGCATGGTTTGCCCAAGCTAAGATGAAACCACATCATGAATCAATGAGCATTTTGCATTTTCTTTCATTACCTGCTCAAAGTCATCCCTACTGAACCTCTAAACATTTTATTAAATCCAATTATACAGTAAACACTCCCAAAATAAACTTAGATTGTATTGCAATTTCACTTAACAGTATATAAAATGCTGTGTTGTGACATATATCAACTATCCATTAGATACTGAATCAATTTTTCTTAAGCACTACTAACTGCTTGCTTTTCTTGAAGCTAGATCATTCTGAAAAATCAGACAGCAGAATTCAGCTATAGCAAACATGCTGCCCTCTTAGTAAGGAAAAAACAGGTACAACTTGAAATCATACCACACAAAACCAAAAATGAACATTACTCTATCAAAAGAAAACTAAAGAGTAGATCTGAATTTTAAGTCCTCAACATTTATATATAGGTAATAACATTAACAACCTCAAATATTTAAGGCAGTATGTGTGGGAACAGTTCACAATGCAGCTGAGATTATTAGAACAACATTTAAGAGCAAAATCTAGGCAACATTTTGTCCATGCAAAGACACATGCAAATGTAAAGAACAATAGCTCAATTTCTTAGGTAAGGGACCCAACATTTATACACTAAGACACAGATAATACAGTTCACTTGTATGCTGTAATTCTGACATATGCGCATCTGTTGCTCTAAGTCTGTACACAGAATGGCTTCCCAAATGTGGATGTGTCTTGCACAAGTTAGAAGGCAATTTTATAAAAAATAGCAGGAGCAAAACTGGACTTCTGCTCCCATAAGACACCTGTCTAGAGTTACTACATAAGAAGATAACATGACCAAAGACAAGTTATACCAAATGTGCAAAACACATTAAAAGTGAGTTTTTTTTTTAAAAGCTCAAAGTTGTTTAAATTGCACCCAAGTCTACATGATTCAAAAATAATTTTCTTGTGCCATGGCTAATATTTATTAAATACCATGTTTTTATTTTTAATCAAATGTTTATATCATTGAGCTTCCTCAATATACTCTTTTTGAGTGTTCACATATATGGATACTGGCTGAGTTTTGTAGGACTCAATGGAAATCCAGTATATGCAGGTGATGCTGCAATGTAAGAATGTGGTGGGAAGATTGGTTTGTACAGAGTCTGATGAATGGTTGGGGATGGTAACAGATGGGGAAGGAGAGGCGAGAGACTGCTGTGAAACATCTGTACGGCAGGAGTCTGACTCATCAGTTTCCGACAAACAGCGGCAAACCATCATCATTGCTGAGCCCCCAAGCCCTGCAGTGAGTTTGATTACTATTAGCAGTGACACTGATGAGGAGGAGACAGCGCAGAGATGCTCACTCAGAGAATGTAAAGATAGTCTGGATTGTGAAGCTTGCCAGAGCACTTTGAATATCGATCGGATGTGTTCATTAAGTAGTCCTGACAGTACCCTGAGCACCAGCTCCTCAGGGCAGTCCAGCCCATCCCCTTGCAAGAGACCGAACAGTATGTCAGATGAAGAACAGGAAAGTGGTTGTGATACTGTGGATGGCTCTCCAACATCAGACTCTTCAGGACACAACCCCCTTTGCAAAGAGCAGCTTTGTGGAAGACGCTCATCAAAACACAGAACTGGTGAGCTCGGCCAACACGGAAACCAAACCAGCTGTTTGTACTGTTGTGGTGCCACCAATGGGACTAGAGAATGGATTAAATGCCGAAAAGCATATGGCAAACACAGATTCTATATGCCAGCCATTAATAAAAAGGCCGATCCGCTCCTGGGAGATTAAACCAGCCTTCCACGGTGGGTAATCATCAGCAGAAACTGACATCAGATTTCCAGCAGCAGCATTTGAATTTCAGTCAGGTTCAAGAGTGGGCATCAAGAGTGGAATGGAAACTTCAGACATCAAAGACAGCAAGCTTATATCCCTACTAGTGTTACCAGTAATCCATTCACTCTTTCTCATGGGAGTCCCAATCATACAGCCATGCATGCCCATCTGGCTGGAAATGCGCATCTTGGAGAACAGCCTACTCTACTTCCATACCCATCATCAGTTCCCCTCAGTAGTGCTACACCAGTGGCCCACCTCTTAGCCTCTCCGTGTACCTCAAGACCTATGTTACAGCATCCAACTTACAATATCTCTCATCCCAGTGGCATAGTTCACCAAGTCCCAGTGGGCAAAGTCAACTTAGGACTTATTTAAATTAAACTTCCTATTACCCCTGCAGAGCCTTAAAGAGTTTCTTTCCTTTTGTTGCCATTCATGGTGGTCTTTTTCTTTCTTTCTGGCATTGAATGTTTACTATAATATCTTAAAACCAAATAGGTTCTTTTTAAGAGAAGCCATGCTAGCTGCTGTGCCAGCATAGGATTTTGAGAGTTTTATGCTATTTACTTTCAGAAAAGGAAAAATGGGAAACAAACACTTTCCATGGGTTATTTGTAGCCTTGCTTAATTAAGCATGAATTTAAACAATGTGTTAATATTTTCTAATATTTTAAATAAACTGCCTATAAATGATAGATATTTGATTAAAATATTTCCTAAATGCTTAATTTTAGATTTGGCCTAAAATGTAATTAATAAACTAAAGAGCAATTTCCACACTTACTTAGGAAATATGAGCGAAAGAGCAAAAGTTAGGCAAAACTCAAAGACAAATTATAATGAAAAAGTGAAGCAATAACATCAATAAATACCTGAGATCTAAAAAAGTCAATTTTTGAAGCATACATAATTCCAAGGATATAAAGGAAAGCTTATTAAAACTGAGATTGACATCAGAAACCATTTCTTTCAGTTCCACAATCCTGAAACAAAAATAATTTAAAGACGTTAGCTCTTGAATTCACTGTCAGAACTTCAAAACTACAAGCAGGCATAGGAGGAAAAATCCTATTTTATTTTTGCTAATTAAGATTTTCTGTAACTTTTACTTCTCTCACGAAAATTTCAATTAGTTTGTATTCTATAACAGTAGTTTTCCTTTAGGCTGCATAATATAATTTTCTCTGTATCTGAGTACTTCACAATGTTTTTTAACTATGATATGTCAACATTTTTAAAGTATAGGATTTTTTGTCCAAATTATCATTATATTAATCATGACTGCAATAAAACATTAAGTTAATTCCTAGTTTGGTAAGTGTCATGACTAAGCAACTTAAGTCAAAGACTTAAAGAAAAAGACTTAAATACTGCTAAGTAAGCCTAATCAACCTTAGTAATTTTAAAGCATGCTATTAACTAAGTATAAGAACAAGAAATGTTATATATGATTTACCAAGAAATGAAACTATATGAAAGAAAGAGTATCAACTGCTGTGCTAAAGAAAGATGAGTTTGGATATGTAACTGATAAAACTTTTTTGGAAAGTTTTTGGATATATGTATTGAGAGCCCTACTCCTTTAGATAATTCTTCTGGAAATCCGGTCTAAAGAAACAGTATGTTTTGTTTTATTTATTGCCGTAATCAACCTTATAGTATATGATAGATTTTAAAAGTATTGTTTACAACATAGGAAAACACTTATGACAAATTAACCAGTTAAGATACAAATTGTATATGTAATTCTAAATGGAAAACAGTTTGAAATAAAACGTGCCATGGGCGCCTGGGTGGCTCAGTTGGTTAAGCAACTGCCTTCGGCTCAGGTCGTGATCCTGGAGTCCTGGGATCGAGTCCTGCATCAGGCTCCCTGCTCAGTGGGGAGTCTGCTTCTCCCTCTGACCCTCCCCCCTCTCATGTGCTTTTTCTTCTCTCACTCTCTCTAATAGGTAAAATCTTAAAAAAAAAAAAAAAGAAATAAAACGTGCCATGAATAGAATAGTGATGGGACTACAAATGATCTGTCCCTTCCTTTTGTCCAAAATTTTATGAATAAGTATTATTTTCACAATCAGGAAATCATATAGTAAAAAGTATGACTTGTGAAATAAAAATTTAAGAAAGAGGAAAATGACTCAGAAACTCTCTAGATCAAGGTATGTCCTTGCTATCTTTCTACTTTGGTCCTCTAAATTGACAAAAATATGATGAAATAACAGCAATAACAGAATACCATACTGTTTTACATATGAATTACCAGATTGTGAGGTAAAATGAGAACTAAGTAATAAGGTGATGTGTCCATCTTCATTCCCAGTTTTGATCCAGGATCCCCAACGCAAACTTATCCTGACAGCAAATCTAACTGCTCAGTTCTTCTGTCAAGTGCCCTGAGAGCCCTTTAAACAAGAGAGAAGGAGATGAACTAGATCTCCTTTTGCTATGGAATCTCAAAGTTAATTTACTTTTAAGATCTATATTTGGGCTCCCTGCTCTACGGGGGCCTGCTTCTCCCTCTCCCACTCCCCCTGCTTGTGTTCCCCCTCTCGCTGTGTCTCTGTCAAATAAATAAATAAAATCTTTAAAAAAAAAAATCTATATTCTCCAAACTATGCCGTGCAAAACAGAAAGCAAGTTGAAGTTTGTCTGACTGTTTAAAAATTTTAAACATCTAAAAAACGTTATTGACGGTCAGATGAAAGCCATTTTATTTTCCCCATCACCTTTTTTTTTTTTTTAAAGTACTTAAGTGCTCACTAAGTGCTAGGCACTGGTTAAATGCTTTGTTGGATTATGTCATTTAATTTAATTCTTATAAAATAAGATAATATTTTAATAATAAAATAAAAATAATACTTTATTATCTTTACTTCATAGGTAGGGAAACTAAGAGCAGCTAGTTAGCCTGTCCAAAGCCACACAGCTCACAGATCTGGGATATAGATACATGCAACTGACTCCCACTGTCCAAGTTCTTTACCATTACCCTATTCTGTCTCCTCTACTGTTGTTTTAATTGACAAGGTTATTTGTCAACTTTCTTTGGGTATATAGTTTACTGCAAGATAACAATCATTTAGAAAGTTCAGTATTATACTAATTTTCTCTCATAACCTAAAGATTTTGCTATAACTAATATCAACAAAGACATACTGAACAGCACAAGTACAATGCACATGACTTCTAATATTTGATAGTAAAGAATCCTTTTCTGGGAGGAAAATATTAACAGGATTATCTGTTTTTTTTTATTGATTTTACTATCAGTGAAAAATTCAGTGGCTGGCAATTCATTAACATAAAGCCCAAAATGAAAATTCCTATTAATCCACATGGACCTGGCTTTGGATGGTGTCTTAAAACTTTTCCTCTAATATTTCATTACATGGAAAAAGTAATTTATACTTTTAATAATTCTAATACCCATTTTCCATGTTTAAAATGTAAAAGAAAAAGAAATCAAATTTTTAAAAATGTATATACCTCTCAGAACTGATATTAATGTTTCAGAGAATACTTACGTGAATTTTGCTAACTCCCTCAAATATCAATGATGAAAAAACTTCTACATATGCTTTCAAATTAAAAAACTATGAAAAATAATTATTCTTGTCACTGAGATGCAAACACAACTGAGAATGAGTCACAACTTAATAGAAATGGTATCATGAACAATTCTCACCTTTTAGGAATTTCACATAGCTGATTCTTACTGAAGTTAACAGAAGTGATAATGTTGCTTTTTACTGCATCAAATACTTCATCAGGAATTAAAGTTGTTTGTTTATCACTAAATGAAAAAATGGTTTGAAAATGCATCATCCTTAGTAGTCCAGAAAGATATGATTATTACTTTTCAGTTTTAAGGCCCTTAAGGATTTTATGAGTTTTCAAGGCAGCAAGGCAGTTGCTTATGAAGAACACTTTGAAGTTCTGCAAATAATGCCACAAAAACCTACGAACTCACAAAATATTAACCATTAAGAATTCAGACAACATAACATATCACAATACATTGTACTATACCTTCTGAGCACTCACATACTCAGTGTGAATAAAACCAGATATATCTTCAGAATCTAAGATGTTTAGAAATCATATTAAATGATAGTAATTGTAAGTGGATTCCTCTACCTCAGAATAGAACTAAATCTATCATTTTAAAACTGTTGTCATCCCTTTTCTAACAGGGATTATCTGCCAACTTTATGTAGCTATATAGTTAACTGCAAGGGAACAATCATTTTTAAAAGTTCAACACAGGGGCGCCTGGGTGGCTGTTGGTTAAGTGCCTGCCTTCGGCTCAGGTCACGATTTCAGGGTCCTGGGATGGAGCCTCAGATTGGGCTCTCTGCTCAGCAGGCAGCCTGCTTCTCCCTCTCCCTCTGCACTCCCCCTGCTTGTGCTGTCTCTCTGTCAAATTAATAAAATCTTTAAAAAAATGAATAAAAATTAAAAAAATAAAAGTTCAACATTATACTGTTTCTCATAACCTAAGCCAATTTCTCTCTCCTTTAGCATGTGACAAGGTAGACAGGGGAGTGGCCTTAGACTGAACTATTCCTGTTTTTACCATTAAGGACCTTTTTAAAATTCACTTTCTCTTAACCTCAGTTCTGTGAAATTAGAATCTGAAGAGTTATTCATTGTTATGTGGGCCAGATCTTTTGCAAATATAAATTTAAATAAATTTCCTTTTCAATAAGATTTTCAATAAAGTATACATTTAATCTTAAATGAAAGTATAGTAGTACTCTGACATTTGCAGATTTAACAATTTGTTGTGTTATAATTAGCCATTTGTCCCCACGCTCTTCTTTTACAATTTTCAATGCTTAATCCATCATCCACTTAAAAATATTGTTGATGGAATGCCAAATTAATGACTTTATTAAAAAGAAAACAATTATTACATATAATGTCCAATATAGAGGAATCTGTAAGAAAGACATTGTAATACAGATAGGTAAAGACAGCCTAAATTCAGTTTGTATGCCTTCTACCTCTGTTGTATGGCTGTATTTTCTCTTGTGCAAATGTAGCATTTTTATCTTTTCAATCAGAAATGCTCAAATCATGGGGAACTGATTTATTGTAATCAAACATTGAAGATTCACACTCTTTTAAAAAAATTTAGTTGATAGCATTTATGCCTTGATACTGGGAATTCATTTATATTTTATTATTTATTTATTTATTTATTTTTAAAGATTTTATTTATTTGACAGAGAGAGAGAGAGAGAGCACAAGTAGGCAGAGAGGCAGACAGAGGGAGAGGAGAAATAGGCTCCCCGCTGAGCAGGGAACCCGACGTGGGGCTTGATCCTAGGACCCTGGGATCATGACCTAAGCCAAAGGCAGATGCTTAACCAACTGAGCCACCCAGGCGCCCCAAGGAATTCATTTATATTTTAAATGGAATATTCCTTTTCAATTAAAATCTGAGGAAAATAAATTTCAATAAATTTAGAATCAAAACAATCTAAGATGTATGATCTTCAGTGCTATATTTATAACACTTGTGATATCTGTGACTTTAAAAAGTGGGAATGGTTATCTCAAATAAAATTATAGATTGTTTGGAAGATTAAAAGCAACAGCATATGTAAAATACCTAGTATAGTGCCCAGCATAGAATAGGGACTCAATAAATCATATCCATTCAGGGCTGAGGGAATGAATGAAGGCAGAGAAAAAAAAATTCTAAGGCAGGAATCAAGTTTGTCTCATCATCACTCAGTGTATTATGACACCTACCATAAGATTTGAAACCTAGTAGGTTCTAAGAATGTCTACTGAATAAATGGGTATATTATGTGGAAGAGAAGACATGCTAAGCTGCCATCTATTCTGAGAAAAGAGGGATACAAATATAAATATGGAAGAGTACTACCTTATGTTACAGTGTCAAAGGATGAAGTTGGCTTAGAGTAGGCATTTCTACATACATCAAAGAGTGTCAGACTAGAGGTGGAAACAATGTGAATGACAACAGATCTGAAAAAGAAACTGTATCCTGACCTCTGAGGTGGTTCCTACAGACACATTAAGGAAAACAGGCCAGACACTGATGCTTACTGTTAGATAACTGATTAACTCTAGTCACCTGACTTGAACTTCAGTCTGTATCCTTTTGTATTTTCATTAGATGATATCCAGACATAAACTAATCACTGTAGGAGCCCTGACAGTATGGGTTAATTTATCACTGTTGCCTAGATAGTAGTGAAAGAATACTTAACAACCTTTTCATAGGTATCTTCTTTCCCCAATTAAATACACTCCCATAATATAAACATTTTTAGGCTTTTATCTCAATTTATATACCAATATTCCAATTGTTCCAGGTTTAATACATATGTACTAGAGCATAATACTATTATGGCATATTATTTGGCTTAGATGTATTAATGGGGTACAACCTCTCAAGCTTTGCCTGCTTAAGGTCTTCATTAACTAAATGATACTAATTTCTTATTTACTAGTAGAGACTCTCCAATATAAAATCCTCTCTTGATGCTGGTTACTGAGTCAGAAAATTTTATTACCAAACAATACTCTCACTCTTATTTTATAATATAAAATGTTATTATAAAAATGTCAATATTAACAAACATCTATCTCTTAAGCATAATAAATACAACTCACTGAAGGAATTGTATTTAAGTTCACTGTACTTTTAATATGCTTTTATTTCATCACTGTTTTTGCAATTGCTAATCCTCCAAGTACTAATACACTCTGATGAATTCTTCCTCACCAACTTTCCTTTTATCTGAAGGATTATTTCTCAAAGTTTCCTATATGTCCTGCAGAGTTTAAGAAAATTACATACCTATAGTCTAATATTTTTAATGTGATGATAGCGTGTACATTGACTCTGGATTCACTTGGTAGTGTCATGGCAGTCTCAACAGAATCATTTTGGCTAGGTCCATCATCTGGCAAGAGAAAAGTTATATGAAACCAATATATATACTATAAAGTCATTTTTAAATTCTTGTATATATATAAAAATGGTATATATGATTTCTAGATATTATTGGTAAGAATGTCTTTAATCATATACTTTATTTCTAGTAACTCAAATCTAGATCTATAATTTAACATTTAATTAATAGAAAATAGAAAAAATTATTATAATATGGCTTTAAAATCTTTTAATAAATCCTACCAAGAAAATGTGGGAGTAGGAAAGAAACTTCAAAGAGTAACTACAATCTCTCAGAAGAAACAATGACACTAATCCTTCCTCTTAAGAAAAATAATATGGTCTATTAGAATTTGTTAACAAAGGAAAAATATTATTTCCCACAAATGTCTACCAAATAGGCATACACCTATCTCCTGAGTTAGGACATATGGAAACTGATTATCCTTGATCACTTGAAACTGGGGGATTTACATAATTGAGTAAGCTTTTGATACATTATTCATGTTAAGAGGTTTTTTTTCAGCATATGCAAGACTTTATTTTCAATAGAAATTCCTAACATAAATGCATACTTACACACTCACACACAATTAACTCCCTCACTAGTTTCCAAAGACTGTTTTAACACCGCCATCATATGGTATAAAGAACAAAACAAACATAAATCATACACATCAAAAATAAATGGCTTGTGACTTACTGGCAAAAGAGACTTCAAGCCATCCAGACAGAAGTAAAATAAGACTATTAATTTTCAACAATGTGAAAAAAATGAAATAGTCCTAGCATTCATCATATGTTAAGAGCATAAGGCATACCAAAAGAACATAAAACAATTAGTAGTATCTCTGATCTTGCTTCAGCCCAGCAGGCATTTAATGAACATTTGTTGAATACTATGAAGTATATTTCTCTTGCATGGAGCTCATCAATTATTCACTAATCAATATCATTAAGCTAGTATTTCTTATGCAAATATCATATTAATATTTTGTTCATAGAAGAAGCACAGAATAAAAGACAGTATCAAGTAGAAATAAAAGACATCAAAATATTTGTTAGTATTAAGTAAATGCTTTGGTATTTAGAAGTACCCTAGCATTTTGGTTATGTCATTTTAAAGAATATGTAATATATACTGCCAAATTACATCAGCAGATAGGCAACATGAAACCAGCAACAAAACCCAGCATTATTTTTTAAATATACATGTATACTAGCATGACAACATACTGAGATGAGTATTCTCAACACTTTCCAAAGAGCTACCTTTAATAACCACATTATATCTTGAAGAAGAAGAAGAAGAGGATGATGATGATGATAGCAGGAGGGGAAGAATGAAGAGGGGGAAATCGGAGGGGGAGACAAACCATGAGAGACTATGGACTCCGAGAAACAAACTGAGGGTTCTAGAAGGGAGGGGTGTGGAGGGATGGGTTAGCCTGTTGATGGGTATTAAAGAGGGCACGTACTGGATGGAGCACTGGGTGTTATATGCAAACAATGAATCATGGAACACTACATCAAAAACTAATGATGTAATGTATGGTGATTAACATAACATCATCATCATAATAAAAAAATCAGCATCAAGAAGGATGTAAAGAGGGAGCCCATTATCCCTTGGGAGGAGACTATACTAGAGATAGACTTTCTTTTCATTATATATCCTTGTATATTGGTTGAAATTTTTTTTACCATGTATATTTACTGACTTTTTAGTTAAAAAACCTAAGATGGCAATATTCCTTAAATTGATCTACAGATTCAATGTAATCCCTATCAGAATCCCAGCTGACTTCTTTGTAGAAATCAACAAACTGATTCTAAAATTCATGTGGGATTGCAAGAAACGCACAATAGCTAAAACAAGACTGAGAAAAAAGAATAAAGGATTTACCCTTCCCAATTTCAAAACTTACTACAAATCAATGGTAATCAAGAGACTGTGGTACTGGCACAGGATAGACATACAGATCAACGGAATAAAATTGAGAGTTCAGAATGAAACCTGTATTTCTTCTGGTCAAATGATTTTCAACAAAAATGACAACACCACTCAATAAGGAAAGAATAGCATTTTCAGGAAATGGTGGAAGGAAACTGGATAGCCACATGCAGAAGAATTAAATTGGATCCTTATCTTATACCATATATAAAAATCAACTCAAAATGGATCAAGTACTTAAATGTAAGAGCAAAAGTATAAAACTCATAGAAGAAAATATAGGAAAGAATTTTCATAAAACAGGTTTTTGCAAAGGATTTTTAGACATGAAACCAAAAGCGTAAGCAAAAAACAAAAGGAAAAAATAAATAAATTGACTTCATCAAAATTAAGATAAAAAAAACCTTTTGTATTTCAAAGGACCCCACCAAGAAATGAAAAAACAAACCCACAAAGGACTAGAAAATACTTGCAAATCATGTATCCAACAAGACATTTTTATCCAGAATGCATAAAGATAAAAAGATTAAAAAAATTAAAAATTGGGCAAAGGATCTCTCACGAACATACATGAAAAATTCCTCAACAAAATAGTAGCAAGTTGAATATTAAAAAGTATTTTAAAAATTATACACTGTGACTAAGTGGGATTCAACCCAGGTATTTAAGTCTAGTTCAGCATTCAAAAATCAATGTAATGTTTCACATCAACAGGCTAAAAAAAAAGAAAACTTATATGGTCGTATCAATAGATGCATAAACAAACACTAACACTCCTTTATGATAAAAACTCTCAGTAAACTAGGAATAGAGGGGAACTGTCTCAACTTAATGAAAAGTATCTACAAAAAACCTACCACTCACATCATACTTAACAGTGAGAAACTTGAAGCTTTCCCCCTAAGGTTAGGCACAAGGTAAGGATGCCCCCTCTCACCACCACTCCTTCTGAACATCATACTGAAATGTCCTTGTTAATGCAATACAGTAAGGAAACGAAATAAAAAGTATGTAAATGGGAAGGAGGACACAAAATAGTCTTTGTTCACAGATGACATGATCGTAGGTAGAAAATCTAAAAGATGTGACAAGAAAAACTTGAAACTATTAAGTGATTATAGTAAGGTAGCAGGATACAAGGTTAATATATAAAAGTAAATTGCTTTCCTTTATATCAATAAGTAGAATCTGAAATTAAAAACACAATACTAATTATATTAGCATCCCCCAAATGAAATACTTATATATAAATATGACAAAATATGTATAAGAACTCTATGAGGAAAACTAGAAAACTCTGATGAATGAAATCAAATAACTAAATAAATGGACAGTCCATACTCATAGATAAAAGGTCTCAATAATGTCAAGATGTCCCTTCTTCCCTACTTGATCTATAGATTCAATGCAATCTCAATCAAAATCCCAGCAAATTATTTTGTGGATAGTGACAAACTGACTCTAAAATTTATATAAAGCAGCAAAAGACTCAAAACGGCCAACACAATATTGACTTGGAGAAAAACAAAGCTGGAAGACTGGCACTATCCAACTTGAAGACTTACTATAAAGCTACTGTAACTGAGATAGTGTGAAGCTGACAAAAGAACAAACAGATCAATAGAACAGAACAGAGAGCCCATAAATAGACCTTCATAAATACAGTCAACTCATCTTTGACAAAGGAACAAAGGCAATAAATACAATGTAGTAAAGATGGTCTTTTCCACAAATGGTGCTGAAACATCAGGAAATCCACATGCAAAAAAGAATAGATTTATTCATAACTGCCAATACTTGGAAGCAACCAACATATGCTTTAGTAGGGTGAATAAATAAACTGTAGTACATCCAGACAATAGGTTATTCAGTGCTAAAAAAAAAAAAAATGAACTATCAGGCCATGAAAAGCATGGAGGACACTTAAATGTGTACTACAAAATGAAAGAAGTCAATCTGAAAGATTCCAATTACATGACATTCTGGAAAAGGCAAAACTATGGAAACAAAAAAATTAATGGTTGCCAGATATGGGGTGATTGAGGGGATAACAGGATAAATAGACAGATCACAGATTTTTAGGGCAATGAAAATACTTTGTATGATATTACAATGGGGAATATATATCAGTTGTCCAAATCCATAGAATATACTACACCATTATGATGTGTCAATGCAGGCTCATCCTCGGTAAAAAAATGTACCATTCAGGTAAATGATTTTGATAAATGGGGGAGGCTATGCATGTGTGGGGCCAGAGGATATATGGGAAATATCTGTACCTTACTCTCAATTTCGTTGTAAACCTAAAACTACTCTAAAAAAATTAAGTCTTTTAAAATTTTTTTTTGATTATTCTGATATGACCTCTAACCGACTCATAGCATAATAATTAAATTTTTCTGGAGGAGAAAGTATACCTGGAAAAGAAAGGAAACTCCTTGATTGGCAGGAACTAAGAGTCTTAGAAAATTACATTAATTTATTTGAAGGTCAAGGTGGAAAATGAAAATTGCTGAACAATATAATTATCTTATTCATTTAACATACATTGACTGGCAATATGGTGCTAGGTTAGGCTGTGCATAACCAACAGAGTCATGAGCTAAATTAACAGTTGCTGTATTTAGCCACTTAGTTGTAGAGTGTTTGTTATACAGCAATACACTAGTATAGCTGAATTTTTTTTAATACTCTAGTGTATTCTACAATGATATAGATAAAATAAAAATTGGGATATAGTACAATTTTAGTGAAGCATTAAAAATTAAATGTATAGTATCATTTTCTCTTTTGGCACATGTTCATGCTAAATTAACATATCCTGAAAAATGTGTTTTATCTTTATACTTGTCAGAACTTAGCACAACTATGCATGAAGCAGATATTCAAATAACTATTAATATACTTCCCAGTCAATAGCATTCATATACTATACCATAAAAGTCAAGTTTTGCTCTTTTTATCAAAGTTAAAGCACTAAGATGCTTACTGAATCTTATATTTTCCATTTGATACACTGTAACAAAAATCAAAGAAATTAAGGATAAAATATTATTATTGTGAATTTAAGGATGTTTTTATAACTTCAGCATATTTATGACCTATATGGATTCAGAATTAGAACCACACCTGCCAGGGACCATTTCCTCTAATTATTTACACCCAAAATACATGTAAATTTATGTACTGTTAGCACTTCACCGCCTTTCATATTATCCTTCAAAATATAGGAAAAAATAGAAAAGTACCTTTAATCTTGCTTCGCAGATATTTTAAGACTTCTTGGGTTCCTTTCTGAAAAGGTGAAGAGAAGACACATATTCACCAAGATATACCTTGCAGTTTCATAGATTAACATGCATGTTTGAATTTCAAATTTAAAAACCAGAACTGAATTCTAAATATGCTTACATTTATAATTTCTCTTCGTATAGTTCTCAAAGGATTTCCTTCTAGTGCCAGAAATTTCAAATGAAGTTTTCCCAATGAACAGGGTAGACTACAAAAAGATTAAACTGATTTCAGGGAAAACATGAAGAGTAAGTATAATTCAACCAATAGTTGACTATAAAACTAACAACATATGACAAACTATGTATCATATAATAGTGTCAAAGAGAGCTCAGGTAACATAGGCCTAAAGTATCTCCCTTTGAAATGCGGAACATGTTAAAAAAAACAGATTTGTTTTGAAATTCTCATATTGTGATTGCTAAAAAAAAAAAAAATGTGAGCTACAAAACATTTGCTAAGTAAAAATTGTAAAAAGTAAATTTGAATGAATCAATGATTCAAGATAGCCATACTCAAGGATACTAAATGTTTTGATTTTTTTCCTTCAAGTAAGCAAATGAAATTCTTCCCTAATAACCTAATATTATTTAGGTTATTTATTAGTACAAAAACACTCCTATCCCAAAACTACTGTGATCAACCTACAATACCAATTTATTTTTTTTCTATTTTTTTTTTATTAAAGATTTTATTTATTTGACAGACACAATGAGAGAAGGAACACGAGCAGGAGGAGTGGGAGAGGGAGAAGCAGGCTCTCTGCAGAGCAGGGAGCCCGACGCGGGGCTCGATCCCAGGACCCGGGGATCATGACCTGAGCCGAAGGCAGACGCTTAACGACTGAGCCACCCAGGTACATATTTTTTAATGAGATTATAATCAAACTGCTTCTGTTCTTAATCTTTCAGTAGCTCCCCATCTCTTAACGAATGGAACTTACTCTTCACAGGCATAAATGACCTATTCTATATGGCCTCAATTTACCTTCAAGCCCTAAATTCTTACAATCTCTCTAATTGTACCCTATTTACCAGGTCAACTTGATTCCTTGTTCTCTCAATATACCCCTACAATTTCCTGAACTTTCAAGGTTTTCTTTGTGCAGTTTTGCCCCACCAATGAATCATTCTGACCACCGTACATGGGCACTTGCAACTCATGGTCATCCTTTAAAGATCATATGGTGGGACCAGAGTGAGGCATGACCCTGAAGGTGAGTGTGCTCTTAAATTCTGTGCTCTAGGCACTTAACTTGCCTCACCCTAGTCCCAGTCCTAATGATCATCTAAAAACATTTTTTCTGGAGTGCTGGGTGGCTCAGTCAGTTGGGCGTCTGCCTTCGGCTCAGGTCATGATCCCAGGGTTCTGGGATTGAGCCCCACATCAGGCTCTCTTGTCAGCAGGGAGCCTGCTTCTCCCTCCCCTCTCCTTCTGCCTGCTGCTCTGCCTACTTGTGATCTCTCACTCTCTCTGTGTCAAAAAAAAATAAATAAATCTAAAAAAATAAATAAAATACATAAAAACGTTTTTTCTTCTACAAAATCTGCCCTGATTCCTCTCAATAAATTGCTGATACCTCTATTTCCTTTAAGCCCTCAAAGCATTTTATATCTCTCCCATGGCTTTACATTCATTTAATAAATTCAACAAATACTTATCAGGTACCTTCTAAATACCCAGACACTGATCTACGAGTTAGAGATAGAGCAGTGAACAAAACAGATAAAAATCCTGACTTCTTAGTTTATGTTCTAAGTGGATTAGAAACTTATAAAGATATCTGATTCTATCAGTATTTTAAGCTTGCTGCCAAGGACCAAATCTAACCATTCTTTGTAAGTATGCATATGATACTTGTTCAATAAATGTTTAGTGAATTCAATTGAGAAAAAAGATCTCTACATGTTTTTTTTACAAACCTTATTTACTTATTAACTTATGAATTATAAGCAAATGCAGGTATGATTTCTTATTCCTTTGATCTTTAAACTTACCTACTAATATCATTGTTGCTTAGGTCAAGCCTTTCCAAAGACTGTAGTAGTGTAATTTCATCTGGAACAGATTTTAACTTATTATCCCGCAGGTCTAGCACAAGGATAGAAGTCAGATGCTTAAGATGTTCTGGCCCTAATATTTCAATCTGGTTTTCACCTACATGTAATTCCTACAAAACCAAAGATGAATCATATGTATTTCTGTATTCATTTTATATTAGATAATAAAAATAAAATTGAAATCTTAATTTCAAATCACTGAAAAATACATGGAAAAAACGTAAGTTTCTAATTACTAAGGTGCTTAAGTTTTTAATTACAATTAAGCTAAAAATAGTAAAAACAGAACATTTTCAAGGATTTTCTGATAATTTAAAAATAATTAAAGATATAACCTGGCAGAAAGTTCAAAGTTTACAAACTAAAGCACAGAAATGATTTAGTAGTTACATTTATAGAATTAATAAAAATACAAATCCAAGAACGATGCTGATAAAAACGTAAAGTTTAAAAATAAGTTGGAATGAGCATAAAAAGTTATAATCAGTTTGTTGTTATTTCTTTATTTATTTGAGAGAGAGAGAGAGAGAGAGAGCGTGCAAGTGAGCAGGTCAGAGACAGAGGGAAAGAGAAAAACAATCTCCAGGAGACTCAATGCTCTGTGGGGAGCCCTACACAGGGCTCCATCTCACAACCCTGAGATCATAACCTGAGCAGAAACCAAGAGTCAGACAGTTACCCAACTGAGCCACCCAAACACTCTTTATTAGTGATTATTAAATATAGTGATTTCCCATTAACAGAATCTATAATTATCAGATGTATAACTAATCTTTAAATAACTTTTTCAGTTCCTTTTATCACTGCCACCATTCTGTTTAAGAGAAGCTCTTTTAACTCTAACACATAAAAGTATACATGAAGGAAAACAAAGCATGGCAAATTTAAAAGACAATGTTAATGCTATATACTTAAAACCAAAAGAAAGTAATTAATTTTAAACAGACCCAATTATGATCAGGTAAACATGAGCAGTGGCAACTTACAGAATTAGATATATTCCTTCCTAGTACTCCAGGTGTCCTACAGTATGATTCCACCTTACTATGTTAGCCTCATTATCTACCTCTCCAGTTATATACTACTCTCCAGATGAAATGTACAAATTCCTATATTTAAGTGAATTATTTCTTTAAAAAAAAAAATCTACTGCTGGGCACCTGGGTGGCTCAGTCAGTTAAGCATCTGTCTTCAATTCAGGTCATGATCCCAGAGTCCTGGGATCGAGCTCGGCATCAGGCTCCTTGCTCAGCAGGGAATCTGTTTCTCTCTCTCTCTCTCCCTCTGCCCCTCCTCACTGTTTGTTCTCTCTCTCTCAAATAAGTAAATAAAATCTTTAAAAAAAATTTACAAGCTTCTTAAAAAAATCTACTGCTAACAATACCATTAACATAGACTAAAATTCTGAAAAATATAGGAAAAACATTGCACTTATAACTAATACATATTCCCAATGTAAAACAAGATTAAAAATTTCATTTTCATAATTAACTTTTGGAAAATACATAGTTTAATAATCATCTAAATATTACCTTTAATAATCTACAAGAAGGAAATTCTGGTAGAAAACGTAATTTATTCCTCCTCAAATAAAGCAATTCTAGTGACTCCATGTTAGCCAATTCAGGGGGTACAGCTTCCAAGAGATTTGAATTACAATCCAAATGCTTTAATCCTATAATACATAGTAAGTGAAAAACAAAAATATTTTAATAAAGAGAAAAATATTGATCTATAATTGTATATACATTCAAAAAATGTGTACATCATCATGAATTACAAACCCATGCCACTATATACTGCTATAATAATAAAGAATACTAGAATACCACTGAATGAAATAAACATAAACTGAGATTGCTTTTATTAATTATAATTAAAGAGATACAACATTAAAAATGATGTTTAGGGCATCTGGGTGGCTCAGTTGGTTAAGCGACTGCTTTCGGCTCAGGTCGTGATCCTGGAGTCCCGGGATCGAGTCCCATATCAGGCTCCCTGCTCAGCAGGGAGTCTGCTTCTCCCTCTGACCCTACCCCTCTTGGGCTCTCTCTCTTACTCTCTCTCTCTCATAAATAAATAAAATCTTTAAAAAAAATGATGTTTAATAATGGTCCAAGTTATCTTTGTAATGGTAAAAAACAAAATACTCCAGTACTCTGTTAAAGTATTCTAAAATATACAAACTACAGACTATATTATTTCCCTCAGTTATTATACATCTTTATTTTTTTTAAGATTTTATTTATTTAGAGAGAGAGAGAGCAGGGGGAGGGGCAGAGAGAGAGGGAGAAAGAGAATCTCAAGCAGATTCCACAGTGAGCATGGAGCCTGACCCAGCGCTTGATCTCACAACCCTGACATCATGACCTAAGCCGAAATCAAGAGTCAGCCGCTCAACCAACTGAGCCACCCAGGCGCCCCAGTAATTATATATCTTTCAAAAGAAAAAGTTTAAGGTAGTTAAAGACATACATGCATGCATACTAGCTGTATGAATGGATGTCAAATAACTGGCTAGTAGTAGCTTAGACACATGTATTTAAATTTGGCAAGTTGACTTTCTGTCAAAAAGCCTTGGATTTCTATGCTTGTCCCCCTATTCTTCCATCTATCCATACTGCTTCTTTCTCCCTCTGTCTTCTTTCTTTTCTTTTCTTATTTTTGTTTAAATTACATGCTTTCTCTAACATCTTAGCTAACACTATGGACAAGAATGCATACTATAGCTCAAGAAGGATGTTCTTACTCGCAGCATCTCTCTTACCTCCTGGATCTATCTTTCTTAAAAGGGCATATAAGAAAACAAAAATGGAAAAAAGTAAAGGTCTTCCTTCCCTTAGGAATTCAATAAGCAGCTTTCTCCCTAATACATATCACAGATTCTTCTACTTACAATGGCCACCACATATTTTCCACAATTCACTCTCAACCCTCTAGTTCGAATAGGTGATAAACACTTTACAACTTTTTTGCTATACTTTGAGCCTATCAATTTTAACATAATGCAAGACTTGAGTTGATATTGCCTTAGACTGCTTCTTTTAGTATTTAAAGATGCTAACTGCTTTCAAAACAAATGTAATGGTACTACTTTCAACAAATACTATAATAATTTATGTATTACTTGACTAGAGCATTTTTAAAAATGTCACAACTGGGAGCCTGGGTGGCTCAGTCCATTAAGTGTCTGCTTTCGGCTCGGGTCATGATCCCAGGGTTCTGGGATCGAGCCCCTCATCAGGCTCCCAGATCAGCGGGGAGTCTGTTTCTCCCTCTGCCTCTCCCTTTCCCCCTGTTTGTGCTCTCTCTCTCTCGCTCTCAAATAAATAAATAAATATAATCTTTAAACATAATAATAAATAAAAAAATGTCACAATGTGATTCACCTCAAGTCCAGTAAATTCTATAAAGAAAAGTTTGTTTTAAAAGTTAGACACTATAGTTTCACAACTGTTTGCATTTAAGAGCACTGATAATATAAGCAGTGCATAGTGGAAAGAGCAATGGGGATGGAGTTAAGAGGATTCAAGCCTTATAGAACTGTTGTGATTTAAGCCTTGGCTCTATAACAGATAACATAATTTCTTTTTCTTTTTTTAAGATTTTATTTATTTGACAGAGAGAGACACAAGCAGGGGGAGTGGGAGAGGGAGAAGCAGGCTCCCCACTGAGCAGGGAGCCCGATGCGGGGCTCGATCCCAGGACCCTGGGATCATGACCCAAGATGAAGGCAGACGCTTAATGACTGAGCCACCCAGGCGCCCCTATATAACATAATTTCTAAGCGAGGTTTATGAATCTTTAAAATGTAAAAAATATTCATCCCCCTAACTTACACCCTCCTAACATCACAACTTTGTGATGGCAAAACAATATATGTAAAAGCATTTGAGTTATAAAGAACCACACAAATGTTAGATGTTGTTCTTGGCGTCCAGTCCTTAATAGTGAAATAACAACTAAATGTCCTATTGGTGATAGTTTAAAAGTATCACTGTCATAGCTAAAGGAAGAAAGCATCTGATCATTAATTATATAGTATATTTATATATATAAATATATAGTATATTTATACTGCTATAAATTCAAAGTATTTTTCTACTGATTTCCCTCTTTTACCATCTCTCAAGATATGTTCACCCAACTGATGAAAAAAAAAATTGAAGCTTCTTATATATTAAGATAATGTATTTTATGTTTAGCTCTACTTTTTAATACCTTTATTGAAAAATGGCAAAGATAAGCAAAGTCTTAATTACCGGTGTCCCAAGTAAAGGCTCCCCTAAAATATCACTGGATTTATGGAAGATTTAACTTATGTATTCCTATTACAAATGACAAATGACTACTAATTTAAGTAAAACAGCACAATTTTACAAATTTATCTCAAAATGATTTGTAATCAACTATACAAAATCAGTCCTATAACTTCCACAAGATGGAGGTTTAAAAAAATGAAGAGGGCTTATATCTGATTAGCAGAAAAGACTAGATAAGGTAAATAGTGTACAGCTGACACACAGTATGTTCATCAGCCAAGTAATAATAATAGTTTGCTTTTAAACAAAAAAAATCACTATAATGATTTTGCCCTCTAAATCAAGAATTCTAAGATAATTAAGTATAATTATTTAAAAGGTACTGAAATGTGCCTTCAATTTCTTTATCCCTTAACATTAGTTCTAGAATATGTTAAATATGATGGTGATATGGTAAACTCCAATAGAATCACTATTTTAACCTTTAAAAAAAAAAAAAAGATTGACCATTTGGGCAAAACTAGACTATCTCCTGGCATCATTACTTATGGACCACAAGGAGGCTACAGCTATAACATAACCACAAGTAGAATCTCCTATTAAAGGGGAATAACCTTAGTGAATGTTGAATGAATGAAGAGATAACATAGCTCAAAACCCTAATCAATATCTCAGGTATATAATTTTACCATAACTCATAATCATATTTTATTTTCCTCTTTTTAATATGCCAAAATATGCTTTTGGTGGGAACTGTTTAAGAAGTTAACCTAGACAATAATGGTCTGGAGAAAATCTGACTACTTGCTATTATTTGTTTGACCCACATAAAATCTATTATTTTACTTCCCTGTAACTAATAACATTAAAATTTATCTTTCTAAATATAAGTTGCACCAACTTCACATTTATGTATGTTTTAAAATAGAGAAGATTTACTTTTCATTCCACTTATTTCTGCTGGCAAACTCTTCAGTTGATTACTGGAAAGATTGAGCCGCACCAGACTGGAGAGAGAAGAAAAACTAGCAGGAACAGTTGTAAGACGATTGTTGGAAATATCCTTTAGAAGGAGAAAGAATGAATGAATGAATGAATGAATCAATCAATCGATAAATAAATAAATAATTGATCCCTCGAAGGGTTTCCAGAATTTTGAGGAGAATGCAACATAAAGAAAGACTATTTCAAAGGTGATATGTTTTGTAACCCTCATTCACTGACAATTTCACAAGTCTGTCTTTCTTTCACAAGAAAGGAATCAGAATGAATTCTGACTTCAGAAATACTTTACATAAAGGTTTCTGTTATTGCTAAGTCATGCTATATCATGCATCGTTTTTAATTAAAAAATCCATTTGTCCATCTAATATTTATTGAGTACCTAGGATAATTAGGCAAACTGTATAGGTAAACTGTAATATGAAAAGAAAAATGTCTTTGCAAGAGAAAAAAAATCTTGAAAGACAAAAAATAAAGCTGAGAAAATGGACATTTTAATTTTTAAGGAAAAAAATATTTCCTCTCGGTTCTTCTGCAGACCTCAGCAAGTCTGCTTTGACTAAGTGCAGAAGTTTACTCTACTCTCTGCTTTTCCTTTGTTCAAGATTATCTGTTTTTTTAAGTCATTGTTTCTGTTTTTTCTTTAAAACATAAACAGTTAAGAAAGAACTTTTTTTGAAACTCCATTTAAAAGACAATCAGATAACTCTTATGACATCTGAATTCGGTATAAGTACTCCATTAGCTATCAGCAAACTGTTAGGCAGGGCCAGTTGCAACAATGAATAAAAAAAAGTTACTTAAGGGAACTTGTTCTCTGAAGACCCATTTAGTCTAACATTAAACAATTACATTCTGTAACTCTAAATCAATTAAGAAGATGGTAAAAGGTAGAAACACTAGACCAGCTATTTTTTTTATAAAACACAGATACCATTATAAATAACACAAAATTATGTATCATAATCAACAGGAAACAACAATCTACAATTCCAATACTCTAAACACTAAGAATGAACAGATTACTATGAAATAAATACTTTGCAATATCAAAAGTTACTGATACTAAATGCAATGCAGTATTCTGGATTGGATCCTGGAACAAAAAAAAAAGGATATTAGTAGGAAAACTGGGAAAATCTTAATAAAATCCGTAGTGCAGTTAGTAATACTGTACCAGTGTTAATTCTTAGTTTTTCAAATGTCCCATGGGTATGTAAAATCTCAAATTAAAGAAAGCTAGGTGAAGAGTATATGGCAACTCTCTGTATTATCTTTATATTTGTGTAAATCTAAATTTATTTCAAAATAAAAAAGTTAAAAAAGTTTTTGATACAGAAAAGATATTAATTCACAAGTTCTTAAGATATTTTAAAAAACCCAAATCAACAAAATTACTAATAAAGTTAAACATTTAATTATTGCAGGGGCACCTGGGTGGCTCAGTTGGTTAAGCACTGCCTTCAGCTCAGGTCATGGTCCCAGGGTCCTGGGATCGAGCCCCGCATTGGGCTCCCTGCTCAGTGGGAAGCCTGCTTCTCCCTCTCCCACCCCCCCTCCTTGTGTTCTTTCTCTAGCTGTCTCTCTCTCTCTCTGTCAGTTAAATAAGTAAATAAAATCTTTAAAAAAAAAACCATTTAATTATTGCAGTCAATAATTAAATTAGATATAAAATAGAAGTACATTATACATAAATTAATCAGTATTTATGCTGTCATTTCTTCAATATTCATTTAGTACCATTGCTAAGCAGCTTTTATATAACTTAAAGAATTATTACTAGCTTAAATTATTAAACATGCTTATATTTCTAATGTTGTGATATACTGTTGCTCACACTTATGATTTGATACTGAGTCCTTAAGAATACGATTCTCAACTGAAATATCCTTTCATTATGCAAATGACTATCTGGGAACCCATAAAAAGGAAACAACTGGTAACTGCTACAGTTTATTAGGTTTCCTTTCTAATCTAAATACTCTTCTTTTTTTATTTATCAATTGCTATCTTTTACCATTACTTTATAAGAAAATCTGATGGCCCCTTCCTTAGCCATTCATTTTATATACCTATGCTTTTGACTTTCCAAGCCTTACTTCCAATCTGATCAAATTGAAAGACAGATACTGAAAAATGGCTGTGGAGGGTTATAAATGTTGATTTCAAACACTAGAGCAGATGAGGGAAATATCAAGGAGGATGTATTTACAGGAAAAAAAAAATAGAGGTAAAAGAATTAACTTCCCCTTTAATGAGAAATAAACTTTAAGACTAAATTGACGTAAGTTTTTGAAAATATGTAATAGGTAAAACAACAAGAATGTAAGAGGAGATAACTATGTGGAGTAAAGATTATATATTAGAACAAGTAATCTAATCTAGCTAGTCTTTCAGATCAAGTATTTTAGTGGAATCTTACTCCTTCAGGGGTATAATGGGAGAAAAAAAGGGATACACTTTAGAGTCAAACTGACATGTTAAAATCCTGAATTCATTACTTATTAGTTACATGGCTTCAGATAAGATACTTTTTTTTTTTAATAAACCGTAGTTCCATATCTGTATTAGGGGATAAAACTATGTACCTTGCTATATGTAAAGCACAAAGCAATGTGCCTATTATTCTTATTATTCTTAAAATAATATCTGTATTGCTTTATGGGTATCTCTATTTAGGTTGTGACATAGATGGAATGAAAATTTTGTGAGGTAAGGTGGACATTTTGAAAAATAGGGAAGAAAAGGCAGGCCTTAAAGGGACTGTCTGAACACTCAAAGGACAGGAGGGTTATAGGGACAATAAAGAAGGAATGGGTATACAAATGGAAATTCTTATATGCTAAAGACACCTTTCCCCTATTTTGCAAAGCCATAAAATCCTCTGAATAACAGTCATCCTTATCACCCCCTTCCCACACTCTATTCTTAAATTAAAACCTAAGGTGATTTTATAAGAAAAAATAGGAAAAATAAATTTACAATTACTAATTTAGCAATCTAATTGAATGCAGTTTCTGATAATCTAGTCCTATAATCATCTGTCCATGTTTTTCATGATTTCAATCATTACATCCAATTTCTCAGCCTGATGAAAAATCACATCAGCCCCAAATTATATAAAAATTGGAAAATCACAACTTACCAAATCTTCTAAATTGAAAAGTTCAAATCCCTCTGGAATGCAAGTTAGTTCATTATGCTGGAGATATAGACCTTTCAGGTTTCTTAAATTTGTAATTTCTTCAGGAAGTATTTGCAGTTTGTTATGGCTATTGATTGATAAAATAAATGCTGAGTGATTCAGTAACAACATAATAAATATTTGTAAAGGTATTTTTGCTAACCAACTACATGGGCTCATTTTTAAAAATGAAATATGGTTACTAATTCTAAAAACTTATCAAACTTCACATCCTGAAAGTATATAACTCATTAAGATTATAGTCATCTAAAGTAATCAAATTGAGAGTTTCAAAGAAAACAAAGAAGTAAAGGTTTTTATTTTTTTTTTTTTAAAGATTTTTATTTATTTGACAGAGAGAGACACAGCGAGAGAGGGAGCACAAGCAGGGGGAATGGGAGAGGGAGAAACAGGTCTCCCTCCAAGCGGGGAGCCCGATGTGGGGCTCGATCCCAGGACCTGGGACCATGACCTGATCCGAAGGCAGATGTTTAACGACTGAGCCACCCAGGTGCCCCAAGAAATAAAGGTTTTTAACCAAATAATTTGTGAACTTTTGATTGCTTCCTTATAACCTACTCTTGATTTTATACGCAATGTGAGAGGATACATTGGACTCTTAATTTTTCATACTCTATCTGAATTTTATTTTTTTTAAAGATTTTATTTATTTGAGAGAGAGAGAGAGAGAGAGAGTAGTGCTCATGTGAGCACAAGTTGGGGGAGGGGCAGAGGGAGAAGGAGAAGCAGGCTCACCAATGAGCAGGGAGCCCAAAGCAGGGCTCGATCCCAGGACCCCAAGATCATCACCTGAGCCAAAGTCAGACACTTAACCCGACTAAGCTACCCAGGTGCCCCTGTATCTGGATTTTAGGATTCTGACAGAGATATGGGCACATATACACTACAATGGAGTCACAGCTTCTATGGGGAATATGTTTCTAAGCTAGCACTCAAGACAAAAATAGCTATTTCTGTTTAAGGGCCTGGTATGTCCAGCTGATTGTAATGTGCAACTCCACTCTTCTTTGTACTTAGTTTTACCTTCAGCTCAGTCCTTCTGTAGAGGTACTTGGTTTATTTTTAGAAGTCCCAAGTCGCTGAAGATGATACACTCCCTTATAATTAAGAGATGACCTGATTTAATTTATTCCCAGATTTACCTCAACTATTCACTTAGGAATTCCATTCTATTTTCATGCCATCTACAATTACTTAACAAATAGGGTGAAATGAGAAATATAATGGGGTAAAAATAACCTTAAATTATATAAAAATAAAACTAGTTGGAACAAAAATACCAAAAGATGTCTTCTAAAATAAATAAAAACCACTAAAAAATTGTCAAAAATTGGTTATTATTGTTGGTCACTTAACTGAAATCTTTGTAGATTTCACAGGGATGTAGTTGGGCAGAGATGTAATTCTAGCTACATATTTCCTCCATTCCTCTCCCCATCTATTTCCTCCATCCTAACACTTATACTCGGAAGTGTTGGAAGCTAAAGCTAAAGCCAAAGCCATACCCAATCCATACTCCCTCATATATTCTCTCAACCCTCCCCATTCTTGCCTTTGCAGGCCACATCCTGCCTTGGACTTGATGGGGAACAGGTTCTGATGTAGCTCTCAACAACTAGCACCTTTTATGTATAGATATTTTTGTTGATTTGTTGTAATTTTTTCAATAGATGAGGACTGTAACTTAAGGAAACGTTTTCCCTCAAAGCAATTAATTTACCCACAGAATACTGAGACTTGATTATGCTTTGTTAGATAGATCTGTAACCATACCAATTTTATGAACCACAGTTTTTCAAACTATGTTTTGAACACTTAATAAACCTTTTTATTTTATCTCCTAAATGAAATCTTCCCAAAATCCCTTTCCCCTAATCTGCACATAGATAATACACATAAGGTACTTATTTCCTGGAAGTCTAGATGTGTATTAAAGGTCAAATAAAGTTAGCCAGAGCCTTAGCCACCTGGCTTCCCACATACCTATCAACAAGGACCAGAAACATATCTGTAGAACTCCAGGAGTCCTCAGAAAAGTTTAAAAGCTACTAATACTAAAACCATGACATTTTTCATCATTAATGAAAGAATTATTTCAAATTTTTTCCTATTGCTTAACCTAGATATTTTTTTTAGAATATAAAAGTAACTTAAAACCTGAGATATCAACAAAAAGCTTACTAAAATAACCAGTAAAAATTGCTACATAAAAATAAAACAAAAAGAGGACACATGGGTGGTTCAGTTAGTTAAGCATCTGCTTTTGGCTCAGGTCATTATCCCAGGGTCCTCGTATTGAGTCCAAGGTCCTCAGGCTCCCTGCTCAACAGGGAGTCTGCTTGTCCCTCCCTCTCTGCCCCCCTGCCCACTTGTGCTCTCTCTCTCAAATAAATAAAATCTTTTTAAAAATTAAATAAACAAATAAAATAAAACAAAAAGTACTTAAAAAAATCAACTGGCCTTACATTTATAAAATCAGAAAAACATGCAGGCAATTCTGCAAAAATAATAAAAAATTCAACAAAAATAATCTGAGAAAATTTAAAATTCTTACTCTGGGGTGCCTGGGTGGCTCGGTCGGTTAAGTGCCTGCCTTTGGCTCAGGTCAGTCCTGGGATCAAGTGCCGCATTGGGCCCCCTGCTCAGTGGGGAGTCTACTTCTCCCTCTACCCACCCTGTTCTCTCTCTCTCTCTCACACTCTCCCTCAAATAAACAAAATCTTTAAAAAAAAAATAAATAAAAATTCTTACTCTGCTTTTACCACTTTGAGTTAATACAAAAATATTTTCTAGTATTAAAAATTTTTTAAAGAATATTAGATTTACACCCTTATATTAGCAATATTGAAATTAAATAAGCTTAAATTTTACCTGACATTAAGTTTCTGAAGATTTTCTAACTCTTTTATAGCAGAAGGAAGGGATGTCAGCTGATTATCATGTATCTAAAAGTTATTAAAAAACAGTCAATATCTTAGTCTTTTAATTAACCAAATGAGTTTGCCATTGTACAGAATTTTTCAACAATAATTCTGCTATTCTAATTCAATAGTATACTTGGAGTATTGTTAATTTGTTCTATGTATAGAAGAAGAAAAGGAATTTGAAGTTGACTAAGCCCCTGTTCACAAGTCATGAAGTGATGTCATCAATTTTAAATATTACAATTAAAAAAAATAACCTTACCTCATTCAGTGGAATTTCAATCTCAAATGAGAGATGAGAGGGTTAGAAACTAATAGCACTTGGTGGTATAATTTATGTCAACATATACAAAAAATGAAAAGAAAGAGGAGGGGGCCCTCTATTATGTTCTCATATTATTTTTAAGATATAAGGATACTTAGAGAACATCTAAGTCAATCCATTCATTTTGCAAATGAGGAAAATAAAAACTTCTCTAGAAATTTGACCAGATCCAACACTTTCAGACATGAATTGGAAGATTTCTGATGTTCCTAAGTAAAGTACATCAAAACTCCAGATTGTGAAATAAACTACTCATGCTTTACAATATGACATGGCAATGAGACTAAAAAATAGTCCTTGAATAAACACACAAGAAGTTCAATAATTTAAGTCAGTATTGAAGTTTAAAAAAAAAAAAGTAATTTCAAGTACTGCTTTAACGTCTAGAATGATGAAGAGAAAAATAACAGCAATAAAAGAAAAAAGATGAGCAACAGCAACCACTTGTTAAATATGGATTCTGTTTGCATGCAATAATGCATTCAATTCTAAGAACAATTTTTAAAAATAGGTAGTAGTGTCAGTCCTGGTTTATAGATGTGGAAACTGAGGTACAATGAAGTAACTTTCCCAAGGTCACACAGCTATCAAGTGACGCAGTCACAATTGGAAGCCTTATGATCTGTAAGTGCACTCTTAACCATCATGCTATGCCTATCAATAATTTATTCTTCCTTACGTTCTACCAATTAAACATGTGTTTTCTGCTTATCAAAGCCTAAATTTACCTTTAGAGTCTCTTTAACAAGCCCTATTGATACCAGTCAACTTACATCAAGAACAGTGAGTGCAGGCAGGAGTCGTAGGTCATCTGTCAGTGACTTAAGTTTATTGTTGGATATGATTAGTTTGGTCAAATCCGTCTGCTCCCACCATCGCTCAGTAGCACTGAATGAAAGATTCTGATTAGCTTCCTCAGGAATATCCACATTTATTCTCCAGACACACTGAGGTACTATTTCCATCACCACCACACCAAAAAGAAAGAAAACAAGAAGTGAGATACTAAGTGACATACTTTTATAATAGCCATTCAGTTTATCTATTGAAAAGCATTTTCTGAAACATTAAAAACTTTTTAAAAAGAGCAATAAATTACAACTAAAGTTGATTTTGTTCAAAAACAGAATGTGAGGGTGCCTGGGTGGCTCAGTTGGTTAAGCAATTGCCTTCGGCTCAGGTCAAGATCCTGGAGTCCCAGGATCGAGTCCCACATCGGGCTCCCTGCTCAGCAGGGAGTCTGCCTCTCCCTCTGACCTTCTTCCCTCTCGTGCTATCTCTCATTCTCTCTCTCTCTCTCAAATAAATAAAATCTTAAAAAAAAAACCAATGTGATATGTATTTTATATATTAAATCTTACTTTTATTTTTTTTAAGATTTTGTCAGACAGAGAGAGAGAGAAAGAGCACAAGCAGGGGGAGGGGCAGGTAGAGGGAGAGGGAGAAGCAGGCTCCCCACTGAGCAAGGAGCCTGATGCGGGATTTGATCCCAGGACTCTGGGATCATGACCTGAGCTGAAGGCAGACGTTTAACCATCTGAGCCACCCAGGTGCCCCTTACTTTTATTTTCATTCAACTATATTTACTATACACATACTCTGCACAGCACATTGTAGTAGATATATAAGACAATAAAGAAGGGACTTTATCATTATGCTAATACAATAAAAGCATGAAAATCAACATTTACAAGGTGATGTCATAAGTTTTATAACAGGAGTATATACTGAGAAAGCACTAGTAATAATAATATCTAATAATAATAGCTAACATTTACAAATACCAGGCAATTTTCTAACATACTCATTTAAACCTCATAATAACTCTGAGGTAGGTGCTATTACCATTCTCATTTATAGACAAGAAAAATGGGGCACAGAATGTATAATTTACCTAGGGCTATCCAGCTAGTAGGTAGCAGAAATGGGATTCAAACACGTGCAGAGCTATATTGTCTTGACTCTCAGTGGACATTTGGAAGGCATAACTAATTCTGGTAGCTGCTATTTTACCTAACATACAATTTTATTTCCTAATCCATCACACAATATTGTGTGAATTCTACTGCAGCAAATACAGTAACCTCTTAAACACAGCAAATAAGACCATATAAATTGAACAGGGAGAGTCCAGGTTCACCACTATAAAATCTGAAACTCCAGAAGGTATTAACTTGCTATAGCGTTGTAGCAAAACTATTTTAGAGTCCTTCATTCCAGGGCACCTGGGTGGCTCAGTCGGTTAAGCGCCTGCCTTCGGCTCAGGTCATGATCCCAAAGTCCTGGGATCGAGCCCCACATCGGACTCCCTGCTCAGTGTGGAGCCTGCTTCCCCCTCTCCCTCTGCCCACCCCCCAACTCCTCTTGTGCTCTCCCTCTCTCTCACTCTAATAAATAAAATCTTAAAAAAAAAAGTCCTTCATTCCTTCATAAAAGTAGAACTACATAGTAGTATGATCTAGAACTTTCAGCGGTTATTAATGAAGGCAACAATTGGTTATATCCTGCAGTCATTGACTAAGATGTCAGAATGAGACTAAATAGAAAGCTGTGGTCCAAGTTTCCAATTCAGGACACTGAAGTATAATTCAGGATTACTAATCTGATACAATGGTTTTATAGAAGCAAAGCAAAGCTCCTGAAATCCATGAGACTTACACTCCTTCAAAAAAATGGGGTATCTAGGGGCACCTGGGTGGCTCAGTTGGTTAAGCGACTGCCTTCAGCTCAGGTCATGATCTCAGGGTTCTGTGATCGAGCCCCACATCGGGCTCCCTGCTCAGCGGGAAGCCTGCTTCTCCCTCTGACCCTGCCCCTGCTTGTGTTCCTTCTCTTGCTGTCTCTCTCTGTCAGTTAAATAAATAAATAAAATCTTTAAAAAAAAATGGGGTATCTATATTCATATTAGAATGAATGAAAAGATCCCTTTCCTACCCCTTCTCTCTGGTTAGGTAGCCTCTTCTTTATACTTCTACCAACGAATCCAGATAATATGAATATTATAGAATATAAGTCCATTCATGTTTCTGTTTGTGGATAGAGGTTTATTTTTAAAGTAAAGCAAAATAAAAAGAATTCACTCTCCCCAACTTTTCTGAGAGCAAAAGCACCATAAAATGTACCATTATTACTACTATTACTATTACCAGTACTACCATTATTATTATTATTATTTTGGTATATAGGTATGGATGGTTGAGTGGGAATAAGAAATAGAGATCAACTACAGATTAGCATGAGAATTTATTGACACCAAAAGAATCCATATAACTGGCGATGTTCATGTATTTGACTAAAAATCAATGTTACTCTTGAGAAAAAATTTTTTATAAGTCACCAATGTGCCATCCAGGTTCAGTCACCAACAAAAATTTCCAGAAGAGAAAAACAAGGCAAGATGAAACAATACAAAACACACAAAAAGGTACAGAAAAAACTATGTGATATGCACAACTCTACTCCTAAGAAAATATATAGAGCATTTGTGCATCTATTTTTCTCTGATACCTATATATAGGTACATTAAGATGATTATAATTAAAAAGCAATGTAATAAAAAATTTTGGGGGGGATGAAGGCAGGGAGCACAAGAAATTCATACACAACATAATGAAAATATCTGTTACCCATCAACTATACTAAATGAATGTTACAGTTTTATCATTATTTCAGATTTTTTTGTTAGCAAAATTTGTCCTTGTGGGAACTATCAAGGAATGGATAACTGTTGATACTATATTGTTACTGAATATGTATCAATTTCCTTTACCATAAACACTGACATACTGCTCATTCTTTTCCCCATTACAGTTTGTGAGGTATCCCAATTTCTTGAAGAGCTTATAGCTTCAAGATTCATGTCACTTTTCTTTCCCTACCCACAAACACAAAGAACCACTAAAAGTTATAAAAAGTCCTAATTATTGAGGAATTCTATAGAGCCATCCTAAAATAGCTTACCAATGCGTGAAACAAATACAATCAGGTAAAGATAAATGTCAATAGGCATATAAATGTGAAAAAAAATTACTATGTAGTCAGGTTTATTTATTTATTTATTTATTTGGCTCCACACCCAGTGTGGAGGCCAACACAGGGCTTGAACTTACAACCCTGAGAACAAGACCTGAGCTGAGATCAAGATTTTGACACTTAGCCAACTGAGCCACCCAAGTGCCCCTCATAAAGTACCCAAGTGCTTTATGTAATATTTGAAGTGTATACCTAATATTTAAAGTATATACACAAATATTTAAAGTATATACATAAATATTAAAGTATATACATAAATTTAGAGAATAGTATAATGAAGTAACACTCCATGTATCCATCACCCACCTATAACAATTATCAACTCATGTCCAGTCTTGCTTCATAAATAATCTCATTTTATAATGATCTAAGCTACAATCATAAACTAGAAAAAGAACCCAAAGTAAACAAAAGCAAAGAAATAGAGGGGAAATCAATGAAACAGAATAGATAAAAAACAATGAAACCAATACCTGTTCTTTGAAAATTGGAATATCACCTTAGATCCTACAGATGTTAAAAGGATAAGGGAATATTATAAACAACTTTACATCTATAAATTCAACAGCTTAATTAAAATGAACAAATTCCTTGAAAGAGGGAAAAAAAACACAACAGCAATATAAAACCTGAATAGTCTTGCATCTATTAAAGAAATTGAATTTGCTATTTTAAATATTCCCATTTAAATATTTAAAACATATTTAAAACAAAGAAAACTCCAGGCCCAGATGGCTTCACTGGTGAATTCTAACAGACATCTGGAGTAGAAATGATATTAACTCTACATAGACTCTTTCAGTAAATGGAGGAAAGAACAACCCCTAACTCATTTTATAAAGCCAGCATTAGCCTGATACCAAAACCAGACAAAGACATTAAAAGAAAAAAAAAAGAAAAAGAAAAAAACTACAAACTCCCTAATGATTATAGAGAGTTCCTATAACAAAATTCCTTAACAAATTTATTACCTACATATAAAAAAATACATCAGAATCAAGTGGGAATTACATCAAGAATGAAAGACTGTTTTAACATTTGAAAATCAATGAGATCTATCATATTAACAGAAAAAAAGACACCAATGATTCTCAAGAAATGCAAAAAAAAAAAAAAGCATCTGACAAAAATAAACAAGAAAAAGCTCTCAAAAACCTAAGTACTGAAGGGAATTCCTTCAACCTAATAGAGGGTTTCTATGAAAAGCATATAGCTAACATCATACATAATGGTAAAGACTAAGTGCTTTCGCCCATTATCACTACTTCAGAATTTTACTCTGGGTCCTGACCAATGTAGTAAGATAAGGAAAATTTATTTATTTTGGCATTCAGATTGGAAAGGAAAAAGTAAAACCATCTCTATTAGTAGAAAACATGATCATCTATGCAGAAAATCCTAAGGAATCTAAAAAAATTATATGGAATGGGTTTAGAGATTCCACAGAATTCAAGGTTAATATACAAAAATCAACTGTGCTTCTATGTACTAGCAATCAATAAATGAAAATATTTTTTAAATACTTAAAGATTTGTAAGACACAGCATCTAAAACGATGAAATACTCAGGGCTAAGCTTAACAAATATATGCAAAACCTTTGGTATGAAAATAAAAAATATTGCTGTGAAAATTTAGAGAAGGTCTAGATAAGCAGATAAATATACCACATTACAAACTAATTAAGTTGTCACTTCTCCCCAAGGTGACTTACAGATTCAGCACAGTCCTAATCAAAATCTCGGACAGCGTTTCCACAGAAATTAACAAGCTGATTCTAAAATGTATTAACAAAATGCAAAAGAACTAAAATAGATAAAATAATTTTTGAAACAGTAGAAAAAAGTTGTGGAACTTAATGGTACTTGATTTAAAGTCTTGCCATAAAACTTGTCAAGACAGTGTATTAGTATAAAGATATATAA